AATTATTATAATTATTAATTATTATTTTTATACAGGATTTATAAAGGGCCAACAGTTTGAGGGAGGCAGTTACAATACAATTTTAATACAGGAGCACAGAGTCGGAAACAGTCAGAGAAAATTGACTCATTCACTAAATTTTTTTCACTTAGCTTAGTGAAACTGTATTGAGTTACGTTATCCTTTTTTTTTTTTTACTGTTAGCTGCATACCGGCATGAGCCCACAGTTTTGCACTTTTCTTCTCCTTTAGAGCAAAACACCTGCTTTTGTTTGTACCCTACAGCACATGCAATAAAGCGTTATCAGTGATTATGCTGTATAGTAAGTTCCCTTTTTATGGGTTTTGGGAAATATTTGTAAATTAGGGCTTTCGCAAGTCAAATATTACAGTGAGTACCTTGGCTTCCACATATTTATCGGAAGTGGAGATTTTTCCCATAACAAGAAAACAAATCAGGAGCATTGTTTCATTTGAAAACTAAAAACGGTTTAGTTGTAGAGGCAAGAGGTTAATTGGCTTCATTTTACTCAACTTCTTTTTGTTCCTCTCTTCTGTTGACCAATAACTACTACTGAATGACCAATAACTTCGTATTTATTATCTGTCCTCAATAAAGATAGCTGTTTGCATGCAGATACTACATCTTTAAAGAACACATAATACAATGCATGATGATTCAGCTTCAGCAGATTGTGCACTTATCAGTTGTTATCTTTTCACTTCTTCCTAGTTCGCTTACTGAATTTCCCTGAATTTTTCTGTTTCAGCTGGATATATATATATATATGGAGCAGATTTGCATTGCAACCAATCAACTTCTATCTCACATTTTCAAATCTTACCTAAGCAAACTGGAGAGAGATGCTGATTGGCTGCTCTGGGCAACTGCTTCATATTCTGTGATCTTCTAATGTGTACACACCACTGTGTTGGGATAAATGTGTTATAGTACTGAAAATGTAAGGGTGCCCATATGAAGAACAATGGGGGGGATTTATAAAAACTGGAGCAGACAGAATATGAAGCAGTTGCCCAGAGCAGCCAATCAGCATCTCTCTCCAGTTTGCTTAGGTAAGATTTGAAAATGTGAGATAGAAGTTGATTGGTTGCAATGCAAATCTGCTCCAGATTTGCATTGCAACCATCTTGCAAAACTAACCCATGGGTGAATATAGCAGATGCATGTTTAACCATTCTAAGGAATGGTTAGGGTCAATGCTCACAGTATTAAAAGTCATTGTTGTGTATGGTAATTACGATTATTATAGCTATGGGTCCCTTAGGAAACTCTTATTTGATTATACCGGGGGAATCCATTTATTGGACTAACCTTTAAAGTCGCTGCCATAATAGGCATAATCAGTCGATAAGACTATGCTTGTTACTTGTACAATTATATGTGAATCTATGGTCCTGGGTTGGATTCTTACCATGGAGTTTGTGTGTATTCCTCATGACTGCATGAGTTTCCTTCAGGTGCTTCAGCTTCTCCACACAAGACAAAGAAATACTGGTATAATAACAGGTTTTCATGCACAGTTTAGTGTGTATGAGCGTGTGTCACCATGGTAGGAATATTAGGCTGTGAGCTCCCTTATGGGATTGGGACTGATTTGAATGGATCAATGTGCTCTACAAAGTGCTGTACGTTGGTCAGTCCACATTTATATTTTCAGTAAACATGGAAAAACAAACTTAGCCGTTGTACTACTTTTCCAGGTCAAACATCCCTCGTACTCGCCAAACGTAGAAAGTCTGCATTTGGGGTATAGGTCCATGTGATGTATGCGGGTTTATGCAGTTACTGGCGTATACCCGTGTACAGCTACTTAGCCATTTCTGTCAATGGGCGGCTGTACGCACCAGCTGGGCTCCCTGGCCTCGGAAAGAAGTCTGGAGTTTTAGGATACATAGCTCAATGTGCCAATGTGCATGAGCCCTTACAGTATCCCAATTTTAATGTAATTTACAAAGACTTTTTAAGCTATTACCATTAACAGATAAGGTCAAAATGTGTGTGTGTGTTGTGGGGGGTGTAGAAAATGTCTACAATAACAATGTTTCTGCCTTAAAGGGCAGTAAATGATGTGACCATGCATTTTATGGGTCAGAGTGAAGTGTAGTGAATTAACCTATGTTCACATTAAATACACTATCTTGGGCAGCAGAAAGTGTTTTAAATTCATTCACAAGAAATTGCATGTTTGATTTATCTTCACTCCACTTCACACTTTAGTAAATCAGGCACAATAAGTATTTGCAAATAACCAAAGAAGTTATTAAAAGACACACTTCAAATGAGTTACTATAGCATGTGCTAGCATTACCAAATCACATATTTTGAATATGTTAGTGTGTGTGTTAACAGCTAATGTGTCCAGTGCAAACACACACACTTTTAGGAAAATATACACAGCATGTCACTGAAAAAATCTCCTCTACCTAGTGAAACAGCTGTAGGAGTACTGTAGTTGGTACCCAAACCTTAGATAACAGAATTCTGAACTGTATCAATAAACAGAGTAAAAGAATGTCAAAGTATCTCTTTGAAAACTGACTTGAAATATAGAACAGAACAGGTTGTTTCTAAGATGTAAAAATGGCATTACACTGGTCCAGGAAAACAACAATATTGTTAGAATTCTCAGTTATGGACATTTAGGCCTGGTTCACACCTGATTGTTCCGTGAACGCAAGCCAAAATGTGCGCATACGTTCGCAGAAAAGCGCAATGCGCTTGCGGTGCCATTGATTCTTAATGGCACTCTAAATGTGGCCATTTGTGCTCCCCGTTTGCACGCGTGAAAATGTGAAAGCAAAAAAAACCCCCAAAAGTGTGATGCGAAAAATACTACATGAGCTTTTTTGTCGCATTTGCAACGCGCAGGTGTGAACCGGGCCTTAGGAAGGACAATAGATGAGAATATGTGACAACACATATATAATTTAACTTTAGTAGTGAAAAGAAAGTTTTTTAGGTTAGGTAACAAGCTTAAGGTATTAGGGGCTGACTCATACATTAAAAACAATGAGCTTGAATGCCTTGCAATTGGGCCATACTGCACATGTGATTTCACAATGATTTGTAGCAGAGAAGTTTCCAGTGATTGTTCAATGCAATGTATGTGTGTCTGTTGCGTAATATAATTCACATAAATTTGGTTGTACATAGATATGGCTTAGTTTCATTACTAGTCTTTTAAAAGAAAAATACATTAGTACAGTATGAATTATCAGAACTGTACATGTAGCAGGTCCACGTAGGTCACCATCTAAAGCAGCCATATTTTAAGAATCTATATGCATAAATCTTAACAAAATTACATTTCAGCACATGTGAAACACCATTATTTACCTTAAATATCTGTGGTCATAGTAGTACATACACCTTGGACAGTGTATGGACTAGACTCAATCAAAACAAAAAACCCATGACTCCAGATCTGGGGAAAAAAGTACATTGGTGGTTTGGATTTATTTTTTGTTCTTACTGCCTGACAACTAGGTTCAAACTTCATTGGGTACTGATATTACATATATGGTACACTGCACAATGAAATAAGCACTGGCTTGTTTGCAGATTAAAACGCAAGATGTACCAGTTTAAGACTTTCAAGAAAACTGTGATATTAAAGTAGAACTCAAGGCAAAATATATATATTTTTTTTTTGCATTTGATCGAATAGGGAAGCAAGAACCTTTTCAAGTTTTATGGTCTTGGTCACCCATGAGGTAGCTTTCCCTAATTTCTTGCCCTTGTGACCACAGTCACTGAGACAAGAACTAAGAGGAGATCTCAACATGTACACAGACAGCATTAAAAACCTGGCAGAAGTTCTCTCCACTGAATAAAAAATGTTTTGGCTGGAGTGTTACTGAATGGATTTTGAATCAAAATACTTAAAAATGACAGTTGTGTAGTGCCATAAATTATGGGTGCAATAAACCCTGAAGAAATTACACAGTTTGGTTGATGATAACATGTGACATTATTTATATAAATATTTCTTACTCTTAAAGAAGAAATATCATAGTTTTGAGTAATTTTTATTTGAATTAGACTGAAGTTTTAAAGAGATGATTTATATCAGTATATATATATATATATATTTCTGCATATGAATATATAATATGTGATATACAAATACAATACACATTCAGTATATGACAAAG